TCACTTTGTTTATACTCAATTCCATTTCCGTTCTACCATGATTTCTTCTAACCTCCTTTTTTCTTTCTATCTAGATGGCAAAGACTTTGTTGATGCCATTGAGTATTTAATGGACCCAAAGGACAAAGAGAAACTTCAGCGCCTGCTGAGTGATGAATCCTGGGAGAGATTTGTGGCTGCGGCCAAGCTGTCCAGGTAACCTCCAGGGGATGCCTGTGTTGTCCCCCCATCTCCCCTGCATCTAGATTCCTCTGGCAGGCACACTCCTCCAGGCAGGGTCCTGAGTTTGGGGTTGAAGAAGTTCCTTCTCAACAGTCCGTGAGGAACATTTCCTTCATATCATTCATTGCAGAGAAGGGCCGCAGGTTGAGAAGAGATGAGGCCTGCAGGGGGAGGGTTATGTGACCTTGGGCCTGTTACTTAACCACTCTGTCTACTCATCTGTTCTATTTCATTGCGAGGAAAATAAGATAATACGTGTAAACTGTTTAGCCTAATGACTGACACATAGTAGGTGGACACTTGACATGAACTTTTAAAAAGATGCTGGGAATAGACAGGGCCCAAGCGTCTTCTTGTTGGACGTGAGAGCCACGCAGTACTTCCTGTGGGACAAGCCAGAAAAATCCTGGCACAGTGTGTGTCCCTGGGGATAGTGGCTAGAGAGCCTGCTCTCCCTAAGAAAGGGATTGTACAGACTCTGCAGGGTCCTGCTGGCCTGGAAGGGGAAGAGCTGGAGGGAAGCGGCACTGTGTTGGGTTGAATCCTGAGTGTATTTCTGCCCGGCTCTGGGGGCTCTGGGCTTTTGTCATCTTCCTCTTCAATGGAATATTCCTCTTCACAGTCTGTCTGGTAGGACTGTGGTGAAGGCCTTGGGGTGAACTGCAGGGTCCAGGGCGAGGAAGTAAGTGCAGTCATCCTGTCCTGAGGTCCTGAGAGGCCTGGAGCAGGGGCAGAGCCCGGGGTCTGGGTGGAGCAAGGGTTGTCCAGGTGGGAGGATGGTAGGAAGGCTTGGCAGCGGGGCTGGACTAGAGTGAGGCAGCTGAGGCATCTGGCAAAGGACTGAGGAGGCCAGGGGCCTAGTGGATGGCTATGCAGGGGGTCAGGGGGCACATTTCTTCCTTCCCTGATTTGATCCCCTCTCTGCTGGGGGTAGAGGGCCCTGGGTGATTATGTCCTCCAACCCTGTCTTCGAGCTGCAGGGCTCCTGACTTCCCTGTGGGACCCTCTTCTATTCTCCATGGAGTAACCCTGACCAGAGGGAAGGCAGTGAGGCTTAGTGTCTGCTTCCAGGCATAATGGTGGCTGCCAATGTGGTGTAATCTGAGTGCTTCTGAGTAGACACATACGTTCCCACCATAGAGGACAGGGCTTCCCACACCAGCTCATCCAATCAGTGGTCTCAGCTCTAGCGATTCATACACCTGCCTTGGTTAATCCCCTGTCCTTCATGTTTGCAGGGATGAGGCAGATGCACTCTATGCAGACTTGCGCGAGCTGGAAACACTCGTGGTCATGGAGGCCGAAGACATGCCCTCAGTAGACCAGCTGCATGGGGAGAGCTTTATGAAGGAGTTTCCTCAGGTGAAACAGGACCTTGAGGAACGCATACGAAAGCTCTACGCACTGGCTGATGAGGTGGACAAGGTGCACAGGGACTGCACCATCTCCAAAGTGGCGGCCTCTTCAACCGGTGCTGTGTCTGGCATCCTGACCATCGTTGGCCTGTCTCTGGCACCTGTGACAGCAGGGATTAGTTTGGTGCTTTCGGCAACTGGGATGGGACTGGGGGCAGCAGCTGCTGTGACCGGTGTGACCACTGGCATCGTGGAAGCCTCAAAAAACGCGTCAGCAAAAGCAAAAGCCAGGCACCTAGTGCCAACTGGCAGTGACACAGAGAAGGTGGTTGAGAAGGTTCTAAGTCGCAACACACCCAAAATTGCTTTCTTAGCACCGAAGTGCTTCCAGTCCGTGAAAAATATTGTGAAGAATGCCCGTGCCTTCAACCTGGCCAAATCCAATCCTGTCTTAGCAGCTGAGGCCACAAGCGTCATGCACACAGGGGCAGTGTCAGCCCAAGGTGGCAACCAGCTGCAGAAAGCTTTTGGAGGCACTGTTCTGGCCATGAGCAAAGGAGCCAGAATCGCTGGTATCGCCGCTGCAGGTGTTTTCCTTCTCATAGATGTAGTGAACATAGTGAAAGAGTCAAAGCACTTACATGAGGGCGCAAAGGCTCGGTCAGCTAAAGAGTTGAGGCAGCTGGCCCAGGAGCTGGAGAAGAGATTGGAAGAACTCACCCGCATTCACGAAATTCTACAAGGTCCCTGACTTCATAATCCCCAGACAGAGCATGGAGAAGGGATGTGTCAAAGAGAAGGAAGGAACCTGGGCCTGGAATAAGGGGAGAGAGGGGACAAGAGAGGGGGGGCGGGAGGGAATTTATTTGGACTAAAAAATACATTGGGGTCATGAATATAGAAAGAGAAGTAGAGGAATAAGCACTGAGAAGGCCCGAACTACTAAAACGTTGACAATGGAAGAAGGCGAAAGAGTTTGAGTTGTTGGGCTATGGGAGTTACAGTGGCTCCTGGATTGGCCCTCCCCAGGGTTCACCGTCCCAGAAGGAACCCGGTCTCTCCCTGGTCCTGGTCTCTAGCCCTGCTTTCCAGTTCCAGCTCACCTTTGTCTTTCAGCGGTACATCTTAGGTAGGTAGTGACTTTTATTTTTTTAATTACTGTATATAGTTTAATGAAAGATAGTAATGATTGTGTAACCAAATAGCTAAAAATATAATCACTGGTGTTTTGACCATTCCCTGATTAGTACCCAATCCAGCCAGTGAGATAAAATGGATGGACCTGCATGTTAAGGAATTTGGTATTTCTATAGCTGAGGATAGCAAAGAAAGGGTTCATGCAGATGGCAGGTGGGTCAAAGAGAAGGAAGGAACCTAGAGCTTGGAATCAGGAAAGAGAGTGAGGGGTGGGGCTTTATTTTGATTAAGAGATCCAAGGATGGTCACATCTTCTCAAGCAAAAGAAGAGATTGCAGACATTTTCTTATGTTTTACATAGAAATTCATATATGTTATTGGACTGACAGTAGTTAGTTATTCAACTTTATTAAGAAAATTAATTCTAAAAGATAATGACTTGTTTATTATTCATGTAAGCACCGAGAAGGCTCTGACTACCAAAAAGTTGACAATGGAAGAGGCCAAAGAGTTTGAGTTGTTGGGCTATGGGAGTTACAGTGGCTCCTGGATTGGCCCTCCCCAGGGTTCAAGTCCCAGCAGGAACTCCGTCTCTCCCTGGTCCTGGTTTCTAGCCCTGCTTTCCAGTTCTAGCTCACCTTTGTCTTCCAGTGGTACATCTTAGGTAGGTAGTGACTTTTTTTTTTAATTACTATGTATAGTTTAATGAAAAATAGTAATGATTGTGTAACCAAATAACTAAAACTAATATAGAAACACACTATTAAATGTTTGGTGGTGGGGCTACATCAGGAAACAAGGATAAAAAACCTTCATGGACCTTACAATCTCAGATTTAACTAAAACTATAATCACAGGTGTTTTAACCATTCCCTGATAGAGCAACATATCTATATGAATAGATCAAGTACATTGACCTTGAAGCACTATGGGTGGCATAGGAGGGGTCCAAGCAATTATTCAAGAGACCCAAGTATGGTCACATCTTCCCAAGCAAAAGAAGAGATTACAG